AACAAAAATCACCTAAACCCCTCAGCCTCTCTTTTTCCAACATTCGTGGTATTCGTACAAACTTCTGCAGTGTTGAATAGTTCTGCTTAGAAAAGTCTCCAAACATCTTAGCTCTCTGTGAATGTAATCTTAACTCTTCAAACTCCTCTGATTTCTCGATTCCTGGTTATCTTCATTCCCTTAGAAATCACTTTAATGTCCGCATACATGGCCTGGGAGTATATGTCCGTGAATATCTTCCACTGTCTAGGGAGCTTTCTCGTGAATCTCCACACTACTCTTACATGTGCCCCCGTCTCTCTCTACTATACTCAATCAGCCATCTCTTCTTTTTCTACCGTTTCCCTTCCTCTCAAGTGTTGCGTGATAGATAGAATTGACAAGATCATCTCCCTACATCTGTCTGCAAATATATTTGTGTTCGGTGACTTTAATACCTACCGTGCCTGGTGGATTAAATACTCTGTCACTGACCCCGCTGGGATCCAGACCGTTAATTTCTCAATCACTCAATCTCTCACACAAGTGATGAAATTCCTCACGCGTTTCCCCCGTAACTTTGATTGACACGCTTCTTTTTTATCCCTATCCCGGACTCATGTCTTGGCAGCTCTGATTATTCGATGGTATCTGTAAACATCACTTTCCGTTCCCCTACCAGCCACGAACCTCCTACCAAGAGAATATTTTTCTTTTACCATCGTGCGGATCGGTACACGTTCCGTAACTTCCTTCGTGACGTCCCCTGAAATGCAATTTTTAATCATCCTGTTCATAAATGCGCGTCTGAAGCATCGATGCTTTCATCCCAGCAAGGAAATACCAAGTTTAGCCGCATTCATCTCCTCGGTTCTCTCCTGCATGCACGACCGCTATAGCCCACAGGAGTTACTTCTTCTGGTTGTACCAGAACAACACGTCTGATTGTAACAGGCGTCTCTTTGTGTCTGTTCGTAACGAGTGCAAGCGTGAACTCAAAGAAGTAAAGTTACTGTTTGCTGATAAAATGAAACAACGTATATTATCTTGCAAGTTCAGTTCTAGAGAATATTGCTGGCTCAACAAGATTGTGTTGAATAAGAGCAAATCTTCCGTTCCTCCTCTATTGAATCAATTCGAATTCCTGACATCTACAGCAGATGAATCCTTTGCTCTGAAATTCTCTTCCAAATCAACACTGGACACTGATTTCCCTCTTAGAACAGAGATTCTACTGTGTGATATGAGCTTACCTTCATGTCTCGGATATTTCTAAATTAGACTCCTCTAAGTCAGGTGGGGGTGACGGGATCCCAGATGTCGTCCTAAAGAAACGTGCGCCCGTGTCTACAGTTCTCTCCAAACTCTACAAATATTGCCTCGCTGCTTCTTGCTTTCCTGCTTGTTGGAAGTCCTTCTCTGTAGTTACTGTTTTTAAGAGTTCGGTATCACCTTCGGAGCCCTCTAACTAACTCTCTGTTGGCCTCTTACCACTTTTCGGCAAAGTATTCGAGTCTTTAATCGATGCTGACGTGGTTAAGCATCTTACTACTTACGACCTACTCTGCTATAGTGGAACACACCTATTCTATAGTTAATAGACTCTCCCACCTATAATAAGTAGGAGTAGTAAGAGTAACAAGGAGTCGCTCAGGACTTGGCCAGTCAGTCGATGCCGGAAGACCGTTAGTCGGATACTATAGTATGAGCGACCACAACTAGATTTCTCTGCGTCAATACCTATTATATCAAGTTCCTAATGTTTTGTACGTCGAACCTATTTTAGGACCGGCTTAGTACAAATACAAGCCTCCACTGTGAAACCACTCCACAACAATTATTTGCACTATAACATACTCCTTGACAAACAATATGGCTTCCGTTTTGCCAGATCTACCGCTGATGTGTTGACGGCTATCCCTGAATCTACACCCTTGTGCAAAATTACTGAAACAAAACGAATAATTCCGCTATTTTATTGTTGATATAGTAAAATGTAACCACGAATTATTCTTTTCCCGCACTTCACGACTGTGGAACTCTCTCCCATTTCCTTGCTTTCCTGATAACGACTACAAATCTACAAAAACTTAAATGAAACATTAATCGCCACAATCTGTTTTCTTGAAACCCGTTCAGCCTTTATCCTATTTTCGGTCACCCTATACCCAGTCCTTTCTGTGTACTAGTAGCATTCTCGTCTTACTTAAAAAATAAATAAATTAAATGTTCTATCCATAGGAGTAGAACTTTTCTAGGAGTAGACTTAGTAATATTTTCTATATAATAATTCACCATCATACCATTGGAAAACATGAGTCTAAGAAGGCGCAACAAGTTACTTTCCTGAAGTTTAGCATCAGACATGGTGTTAGAAGGCAAAAATTGTTCTTTAAAAAGGTCACTTATACTCAGAAAGCGAAAACAGAATTTTCTGTGAGACATAAAGGGAGACGTACTTAGAAAATTTGACAATCACAGGATATATTATAAGGCTGAAAGGGACAGAGGAGGGAAGGGACAACCTGCCTGATTGAGCTTAATTGAATGGACGGCTGAACAGGGGCCTGGAAAGGGTTTAGAAAAACGAATATTGTTAAGCGCTACAAATGGTGTATATCATTATGTATAGCATTTAATCGGTATGTACGTTTAAGAAGATAGTCGTAGTTGCACCCAAAATACCTACATACCTTATTATGGATCTCGATTCGTTTAACTGGTATACTCGTAGGTGACATTTTTTTTTTATCAATTTGTTTAGTACTTAAGAAGCCAGCACTTGACTTGTGGAAATTGTGGGCAGTTATCATCGCCTACTATATATATATATATATATATATATATATATATATATATATATATATATATATATAACACACACACACATATATATATATATATATATTTATTTAGTTATTGAAAAGTAGGTAATCCGTATGGGTAAACCTAAGGAGGATAAAATCCAGAGAGCTCAATGTAACCAGAGCAAATAATTTAATTAAAACAGATCACTTTAAGGTTCCATGTAATAAATTATTTCCCCACAGCCCTTTTAAAGGACTGCGGATCATCAGACCTTACTTCCAAAAAGTCTGATGATCCGCAGTCCTTTTAAAAGGGCAGTGGCGAAATAATTTATTACAAGGAACCTTAAAGTGGTCTGTTTTTATTTAAATTATATATATATATATATATATATATATATATATATATATATATATATATATATATATATATACGTTTCATTGAACAGACAAGTTGATTACATTTTTCATACAATATCTCATGTGATATTATTTTTTCTTTTCGGTAGATAAATTATATAAAAATGTCCAAATGATATTTATTTTCGAGCGCTTTCGGCTATACATTTACCCATTTTAAAATTTGAAATATATTAACTGTTAACAAGAAATAGTTTGTTGCATGTATGTATTTATATAACGTTTAATTTTCAAAACACGGTGAAGATTTTGTGTCCATGTTCATAGTTGATATTATTAAGGTTAGTTTTTTTTTGTTTTATTAATAACCTTCTTCCCTGAAGGATAGCTGCCAAAATAAATAAATAATACATACATATATATATATATATATATATATATATATATATATATATATATATATATATATATGAAAAGTGAATATAAATATAAATAAATATATATAAATATAGAGGGTCACAAACTCACATCTATCCAACTAAATATATATATATATATATATATATATATACGAGTGAAAGTTTTGTCACTTAGTTAATAGTGTCATTTTCACCATTTCGACTCCAGATTTTCGTAGATAGATTTTCGGGAAATCACTCCGTCCACTCGTCAGGGGTATCAGCAATTGGCATAATAAAGAATTTATCCATTTCAATGATGCATTCAGACGAAAGGCACGAGACATTGGTTAGTGGAGGGTAGAAGTTGCATAGGTATATTTGTCTTATAGGGAAGACGTTTTATAAAATTAAACACAAATATTAAACGAATATTAATGACATTAATCTGAGGTTATATGAAGAATAAAATATTAATTTAAAATTAAAAGAAGGATAAAAAAGGGTTTTAAAGCAACTTTAAAATATATGCATAAAAGGATGTAAGGGATTAATGGAAAGAGAGTTGTGGGGAGATCTTACAGTAGGGGAAGTTTATAAATTATAAATAGTATAGTGTAAAGAGGTTATAGAGTGGGGATATAGAAATTAGAATTAGTTATACTTTCGACATTTGAAGAGTTAGAGGGGAGTGAATATTATGGAAATAAAGTAGCTAATTAAGTGAAACCTATGTTGTTGAAATTTGAATTTGTTTTTATGCCGACATGTTACAACTCATTCATTCCTCTGATTTAATAGTTGGCTTTGATCATTGTATTTTATCATTGTATTTTTTCTTCTAAAGATAAGTCACACTTACCTCTAAGACAATAGTCTTAGAGGTAAGTGTAACTTATCGTTCGGAAATAAGGTGTACAAGGCGGAACTTATAATATTCCAAACTATCTGTGGGCTCAAACAAAAATTTCTCCATCAATTCCCAACATATATATATATATATATATATATATATATATATATATATATATATATATATATATATATAGGGTGTCCATAAAGTTCGTGTGCACTTTAAAAAATTTAACTTTATTTGTATTTGCGATAGAAATCATTTGTAAAAAGGATTAGAAAGAAGTAAATCTACATTTTTTAAGGTTTTATTGAAATTTTATTTAAGTTTCCACATGTCCCCCATCATTAGGATAAAGGGTAATACGATTTTGCAGTTCACGGAAAACATTTGCCAACTGACTTACAGTAATGTCTGAAATCACATTAGTTATTTTAGCTATACTTAAAACGAGGTACATTAAACTTTATAACACTTTTTACAGATTATTTCTGTCGCAGATACTAAGAAAGTTATAATTTTTTTAAAGTGCACAAGAACTTTATGGACACCCTGTATGCTTTCATTTTGCAGAAGAAGGATAAATAGAAGGATAACTATTATTTATGGATACACTTGTGGTAAAGAATGATACGGTCGCAAATCGAATGTGTAGCGCCGGAGATATTCGTTTCTTGTTCGGTTGAAAAGCCATTCGTCGAGACAACGTCGTGTAATGACGTTATCTGGATTATTGCCGGTGAATTTGTTAGCAAATAGTTCGAACCTATTGACCAGTCGAGGAAGGTCATCCGGGCCGAAAACACAAACTCCACGCCGATAATATCCACCGCATATCCCGTTGACATCATCAGACCAAATTTTATAGCGGGAAAGAAAAGGGACGGCGTTTATTGACGACAGAGGACCTAGAAAAGAAAAAAGATAAAATTTCCTAAACAATTCATCAACATATGAACATAGGCCTACACGTGTCAAAATAAAATATACATGAATAATCGATCTGGTTAAACGGGTAAGTTTAGAGTAGAAAATTTTGAATTTTTTTATCAATTTGTTTAGTTCCCGTGAGAACGACAATGGCGCTTGCAGTCAACAATTTGTTTGCAATGCTTATTTCAGACGTGGGAATCTAAGGTGTTCTGTACAGAGACTGGGGCGTTTTATAAACTTTTCTCAGCCCGGGAAGGGACAACTCAACATCGCTGACTCAGCACCACCGACTGAGAGCCGGGACAACAACTCAAGATCAGAAAAACAACTTTTTTTTATAACCGAATAAAAGTAATTTATTAAGGATTAAAACATTAATTAATGAATGTTTTTCTTCAAATAAGGCGTTTAAAAAGGCATTATGTAAAATATGAACCAGGTTTTTTTTATAATTATTTAAATTAAGTAAATCGACATAAAAAATAATTCAATAATGCACACTTGTTTTTAATTATTTTTAATAAAGGAAATCGAAAAATTCGAAACAAAATGAAGCAGCCTTTTGTTTTGTTTTTTTAATAAAGTAAATTGTAATGTAATTTATTTTTTTAATAAAATAAATCGAAATTCTTATTTTTTTATATGACAATTTACTTTATTAAAAAATAAATTTCTTTTAGATTTACTTTATTAAAAATTATTAAAAACAACAAAAAAACTGGTTCGTATTTCAAATGCATTTTTTGAAGAAAAATATTCAGTAATTAATATTTTAATCCTTAATAAATTTGTTTTTTTTTTGTGTTAGGTTCTCAGTCCTGATTTGTCCCGGCGCTCAGTCGGCGGTGTTGAGTTGTTCCACATCCTTCTCAGTTTACTCGTGCGTTTTCATGTGACGAGTGAGACCGAAGTGTTTTCTGCAGGTTTTCTGACACACACAAATTGTTTAGTTATTTCCATTATAATACTGACCTTACAAGATCCGTTCAAAAGATTCTAAACCTCACCCAGAAAGAAGAGCGATATCTGAACATTTTTGTTGTTACAACTTGCTGTCACTTCGTATAAAAATAGAAAAAAACTAATTCAGATTTCTGTCTTAATTTCTGTGCGGGTGAGGCCTATCCAAAGGTTCTTTCTTCTTGTAACGACATTCACACGAGGTGGTTTGAGCCGGCTCCAATATTAGAGTTTCATGGGAATTTGGAATTCACAAGCGGTCCCCAACCAGCATGTATAGCACATGAGATTTGATTATGGTGGTGAAGGTTTCGTGCAGGACCAACCACACTTTTTAAAGTGTCGATTACAGATACCTGGTGCACTACGTGCCACAAGGTCCCCAAACGATCCTCCGCAGGTTTTGAATTCAGAGTTTTCCTTCTCCTAGACCAGTTGCCATCCAAGGTTATAGAACCCAGTCTGTCCTGCTACGGCTATTAGCACGTAAGTGAATGTAATGGATTCGACTGGAATTCGAACTCGGTTCTCTGATTCCTCAATCCAAGCCGCTATCCATTACTCCACCGTGCCTCCTTTCCAAAGGTGAGAGATGTTCGACAGATCTCAAAATAGTCAAAACAGAGACCCAAGAAGTCATAAAATATCTGCAAAATAATGCTATGAAACCCAAGGAAATCCATGAGGATATAGCATAGACACTTTCTGAGGACTTCTCTTCCTATGCAACTGTAAAGAGGGCTGCGAGACAAGCTCTGCAGGGAAAGCACTGATTATGACCCTAGGTTAAGTTGTCCAAAAACTTGAAGCCCTTCATCGTACGGTTTTGGGTGTCAGACATCTTACTCTCCAGCAGATAGCTAAGTCCATAGACATTCGTTCTGGTTCGGTCTATACTGTTTTAACTGAGATCTTGGGGATGAGCAAACCATCTTCTGATTCACTTCCAGCCTGACCCTGAGAATTTCCACCGCAGATTAGTAAAACCTGGGTTCACCACTTCGAATCTGAATCAAAGATTCAAAGCAAACAGGGAAAACCCTCTGGTTCTCTACGCCTGAAGAAGTACAAATAGGCAGCATCTGTTGCGAAGGTGATGGCGACTGTTTTTTGGCATTATGAAAGTATTATCATGATAGACTGTTTGGAAAAGGGAAAAACTATTAATGTACAGTACTGTGCATCAGAATTCAGACAAAATTAACTGAAGGAAGCAATCAAGTTGAAATGCAGAAGGAAACTGAGGGAAGGTGTGCCCTTGCCCGTTCACACTGCTCAGGTTGCATTAACTGAACCAGCCAATTGAAGCTTTGAATTGCTAACCCATCCCTATTCCTCACCAGAGTTCAATCCCTGGGCTAGCTATTTGAAGCTGTGCGAGCAGTAACTAGACAGAACTAAGGGACAAAATCTTAACAAAACTATCAGTCTACTTATATGATTTGTTAACGACATATCTCTTCAGAAAATTGACGATCGCGGCTCTCCACAGATTTTTTTTCTTTGTTATCAGTAAATTCCAATGACTTCATGGAAAAATAGTGAAATTGATTGTCTTTGCCTTCTCCACCGTTTTGAATTCAGAGATGTTCTTCTTCTTGACTGGTCTGTAAACGAAGACTATAGTAGTTAGCTTACGCAGCTATTTTATCCGTAGCTGAGAGAAGGTAAATAACAGGGGAGCCAGACCATAAGTGGCAGCAATAGTCTAAATGTATAAGTGTGAAAGTGAATGCAACGGATTCCAGCGGAATTTGAGCTCGGGTTGCCGATTCCACTTTTTGTATTCATATCCGTTATGCTAACCGCTTTCATTTAGCGGGTGACATAAAGCATTTAAAAAACGTTTACGAATTGATAGTTTTTGTGAAAATGAAAACGTTAAATATCTGACCTTTGTATGCCCCAGGCACTCCAAACTGAGGATTTCCATTCAGTATACTAAAAACTGTCTCATCTGGAATCTTAGTACCATTCACCCATTTGATATAAACTTGAGCTTTCGGGTTATTGATAGTGAAATTCACAAACTCGCGCGTGACTGTTATATGAGTCGATCCGGACAGGAAAGTCATGTTAAAAGGAAGAGGTTCTTTCTTCCCAATGACACGCCCTTCATCATCGTAATTGAATAGGATTCGGAAACGTTTCTTTCTGAAATAAACGATCAATTTTTTTAGACAGTTTTGTTCTATAAAATAGTAGTTCAAAAACTCAAATCACAGATAATTAGCTATAAAGATAACACTTTCACTCTAAGATTTAAATCCCATCTGCAAGAGAAATAGCCCAAGAGGAGGTGGCCTATTATTTGGAGCTACGAAACTCAAGCAAGTACGAAAATGTAAAGATCTGGTAAGTGTTTTAAGACAGAACGGAAAATATGACACCGTAATCCCAAGGCGTATTGGAATAGTTAAAGATGCCAACCAAAAGCAAAGTATAAAGAAACAGAAAAAAAATAGAAACAAAGAAAAGATTACTGGCCTATTTTCTTTAATTAATTTCACTCCATGTAGGGCAGTGGAAGAATTAGGAACGGAACCATTAATAATGATCGAGAAAAAAAAGAGTAATCGGGAGAACAGTAGATAGCGATCGACGTCGCATTTAAATTTTTTTATTGCAGGTTAAAGTTTGCCTGGAAAGCATGGCGCCGTAAGGGAATTCTACAAGCGATAAGTGCGAGAGAAAAAACTGTTAGCATAGAATTTACGGATGCATCTAACTAACTCAACTGTAAACTGATGAAATCTCGACGCCAATCCAGTACTGTGCTTAAATTCAAAAAGTCTAGGTTCCATTGCGAAGAGTTCATCCGAACAATTACCATGAAAGGATTCATAAAAAAGACAGAGAGAGGCGGTGAGAAAGTGACTGAAATCAAGACAACAGATCAGGACCAATAATATGGTAGTTTCTTCTTTGGACTTTATCTACGAGCTCAAGGTAAATAACAGGGGAACTAGACCATAAATGGCAACAATATTTTAAGCATGAACAAATGCTAGCACAGTGAGGAAACCTTAAGGCAGCATGAAAACGACTGAAAACGAGATGCCGGATCAGGGCCAATAATATTGCTGATTTTACTTGGTATTTTATTAAGAATCTTTAAATATATAGTAGGAGAACTAGACTATGTATGGCAGTAATATTCTAAGTAGAGACGGATGGTAGACATTTGGTTATGTAGGATAAATTCTGGAGAGAAACATTTTCTAACACGACACAGTAAACCAATTTTCTTAGACACTATTCAATCCATTGCTAGGTGCTGACCTAGCAATGGATTGAATAGTGTCTTTCATAAGTTAAGAACTTTAGCCCGAGAAAGGGGTATCGACTGACTTTCCTGCGGTTTAGAATCAATCATGATGATGGAAGGCAGAGAAGGGTCTCTCACATGTTTAATGGAGATCAGTTTAGTGTTAAACTTAATAAGGCATCTTCTGAACGAGTTGACAACAGATTGAAAGTTGTTTTGAACATCTGCAATTTTGACCTTATCGAAACTATGAGACTTACTATCAACACAAGAGTAAATGGTTGTTTCATCAGCGTAGATATCCGTCTGGGAGCTGATACCATCCGGAAGGTCATTGACGAAAATTCGAAAAGAACGTATGGAAGGAGTTCCACAAGCGATATGCGCAAGAAAAGAAACTGTAAGAATATTTACGGCTGCATCTAACCAACTCAACTGTAAATTGACGAGATCTCGACGCCATTCTCGTACTCCGTTTAAATTCAAAAAGTACAATTGCGAAGAGTTCATCCGAACAATTACCATGAAAGGATTCATAGAAAAGACAGAGAGAGTCGGTGAGAAAGTGACTGAAATCAAGTAATGGTAGTTTCTTCTTTGGATTTTATCTACGAGCTCAAGGTAAATAACAAGGAAACCAGACCATAAGTGGCAGCAATATTTTGAGCATGAACAAATGTTAGACTTATAGATATGTAAGGTAAATGGTGTGTAGCGTTGAATAATTAATTTCATTCTCAAGGGACATAACTCTTCGCAACTTCCTATCTTTCATATTTCTAAGTTTTGCCTTTTGATGATCCCTCTTTTTCACTGTTCTGCTACACACAAGATCGTTATGTATGTTACTCACTGTTTCCATCTGCTCTTCTTGATTTCAATATCGCCAGTGAGTGTCAAATTCTCCAAATCTTCTTTCCTCGTTGTGCCCTAGAAATATCAATTGTGTCGTATCTATTCAAGACTTGAGCTGAGATAGCTCCACGCAACTATATCTAGCTTTTGTTGATCTCGTTAACATTTGACTCTTTACGATCACTCTTTGACTTGATTCTGCCATACATCCCCACAAACTATCTGTACTATATAATCGTCCAGAACCTGGTCTACATGGTTAAGTATGTTCGCAGGCATGACGAAAGTATGAGCGTGCCACCCTTGTTCAGTTACTGATCCCACTGGATTACGCTCTCTCCCGTAAAAACTGCAACTAATGTCGGATCACCATAGTTGCAGCATAAGCTATGAATTGCCTCTGCGGGTGATGAAAAAACACAAATGTACTTCCGTAGGCGTCTGTAACAGCGTTTGACTTGCCGCTTTTAACATACTTTATACTTTCACGAAACACACTCTTGCCAACTACTGATTGACAAGCTTGACCAAATGTAAAGCAACACTGATATGTCAGAAATCACGCACACAATAATTCTCTGAAAAGAACATCCAACCTTTTAAAAGAATTACAACGTGTCCGCTTTCAAGCAGTTCTAATTGAACAAAAGGAACTTGTGTGTTTCCCAGACTTGACATTTGATTTTACTGGACTTTTCAGCACACAGAATTCAATTGAAAGTTACTTCTCAAACTCAGACACACTGGTATGAATTTTGAAAAAACACAAGTTGTTTCTAATTATTTCACCCAAGCAAGGAAGTAAAGCCACTAAGACACAAGAGGTTACTGAGTGTGAAGAAACAAGACAAAAATTATTAAGGAGTAAGAACACTAAAAGAAAATGAATGAAGAAGGCAGTAGATAATGATTGACATTGTATTTAAATTTTTGAAGAACAAAGTTGGCTGGAAAGCCAGAAGCCTGAAGAACGTTACACAGGCGAGAAGCGTGAGAAAAGAAACTATTAGCAAATAACTTACGGTTACAACAAGCCAATTCAAATATAAAATAATGAAACCTTGTTACAAATTTAGTACTACGCTTAAAGTCATAAAACCAATGTACCATAGAGGAAGGTTTATCAGAGCAATTACTATGAAATATTTATTGTAAAGGTACGGCGGTGGGAAAGTCACTAAAGTGGTGATGCCAGATTAGGATCAATAACATTGTAGATTCTTCTTAGGACTTTATCAAGAATCTCTAAATATATAACCAGAAATCTAGGCCATATGTGGTAGAAATATTCGAAGCATGAACGAATGGTAGACTTATAAATATGTAAGATAGATTCTGGATTCTAGAACGGTTAAAGAATTTGAAAATATTATAAAGATATTTAAAACCCGTCAGTATGCATATAATATACCCAGATCAATATCTGTATTGTCTATCATCATGTTGCACTTTTATTTTCTGTTTGTATATGATATGTCCCGGAAAGGGATATATTTGAACGAAATAGCTAAATGGTTTTGGCTACTATAACCAAGTAGAATATGGTAGCAGTAATCGACTGGTACTCGTCGTAGTCGCAGGTAAAAAGGGTAGATCAATGGCGTAGTCCAATGGGCGTCGTTATAGACTTAGTTCTCAGACTAAGGCTCTTGACTCTCCTACACGTCCGTCGGTATTTATGACGGACACCAGCCAATCACACTCCAGTGAGGGGGAACACAGGTGTACGCATATTCCATTATATCAGTATAGTTTAAAAATTTCCTGCTAAAAATCTACTTGCAGATGAGCCAAACTCAAGTAATAGTAATTTTCTCTTGCCGTATTTTCTACGCAGCTTCAGTGGAACAAATGAATTAGATCGAGACAAAATAAAAAGGGTTAACGTACGGAATTATTTTTGCATTTATATCGTTTGCTCCATTAAGAATCTTCAAAATTCGAACGATCTGCAAGTTCGTCTTCAGAGGAAATTCTTGACCTGTAAGATTTATTAAATACTTCCATTTCTTATAACGGAGCAAGTCTTTCATACACGATAGTTCAGCGGCAACCACCCCAAAGTTACCCCACTTGACCTTTTCCATTTTTGTGGCAATGAAAACGTTCGGCAAACAGTCAGCCAAGGAACGCATGCATTTCTTAAACGTTCCGGAACTTTTCGAATCGATATGGATGCAGTAATAATTCTGCGGTCTGTAGATAGCACGAAGAAGTGCCTCTACCTGATGAGGACAGCAGTAGACGAGGATGCTGAACGCCACAGGAAACTGTTCTTCTTCTTTGGTCATACTCCGTAGTATATAACCGCGATACTTCAGGAACTGTGAACAGTTTTGAGTCGAACTGGTTAATGCAGTGGGATTATTTTCATCGTCAGCTTTTGGGCACTGAATGAAATTAGCTTCTTTTCCGGCGATCAAGGAAGAACAAACTTGCGGGCATGAAAGCCTGGATTTTTCTATGTCACTGAAAATTTGGCTGACTTTTTTCTCATCAGCAGACAGAGACACAGGTATCGAATATTTATCCATCTGTCGGGAATATAATATGACATATATCAGGCAATAAGTCAATGAAAAGACCAAAAAAGCCTTCTTTATAAATCTAACCAGTGGCATCTAGTGGTAAATGGTACAGGTCATGTTCCGAATGTAGACGACTTTTTATCGGTCCTGAAAAGAGAAAGAAAATATATTATAGATTGGTTGGCAATCATTGAACGCTATTTTGGATAGGTAATGACAATATACATGATACTAGCGGGGATTCAATTTACTGTAAGTACCTCCACGAATTTGGTATACGTAAGGGTTTAAAATGAATTTTTAAAAATGAAAAAGCTTTCCTGATGCTTTCAATTTAGTTTTAATTAAAGCTAAAGGATTACATTTACTATATCCAGTATGCAAAATACTTTAGCGTATTTCAGGCAGAATTTAGATTGATTGGAATAGAGTTCATTTTTTTCCAGTGAAATCGATCACGTCAGCCGTTTATTTTTCCGTTATAAAAATCTTGCAAAAATAAAATATATATTTCTGAAACGTTTTTTGAAGAAACTTAGCAAATTTAAAGTTAAGTTAATCTGATTTGAAACAAATATTATTTACTTATAGTATAAAATGTTGTATACAAGCATTTCCTGAAGATGGAGTGTTGTTTTTCTGACGTATTAATCGATTTATTGACGGCGGATTGACCGCCGAATGTGATCATAATTATCTATGGTGTAGCAGTGTTTCATTAAGGTTTTGTTTTTTTTCCCCGTGAATGAGGGGAAGAAACCATAAAACACGTGATTTTTATTAAATGATTTATCTGTTTGTACATCCATATTTCAGAAATTTTACATCAATATTCATATATAACATCAAATCGAAATTCTTTGGAAAATAGTCGTTTTCTTCAGATTGTAATAAGCTTTAAAATAATATATGATTAGTAAATATAATTTTAATTAGTAACAATGTCCCCTAAAATTATCTCATCGAAATTAAATTTTAAAAGATTCAAAAACTTTATAAATTATTCCATTTTAAATTGTAAAAAATTGTAAAAATTGAAAAGAAATCTTTTAAAAATTCATTTTTCATCTAAAGAAATTTCTTCTTTCATATATGCTATTCATAAAAGCAATTAAAAGCTTCTCTAATCATAATAATATAGTTTTATTGAAGGCAGTGAGTCCGACAAGATGTAAGAGCTTAGCGCAAGGCTAGCTCGGTATTTATCTCCGACATCCCCACAAGGCAGAATGTGGCACAAGGTCGGTTTTTACGTGGGACGTCCCGAGCTTGTACGGTCGGGCAAAAATCGTCCGTCGACTCAAACGTGGACGGGTACTGTCTACCTCCCGAGATTACACGAAGGCAGAGTGTCCGACAAGCTCTACGAGTTTAGCGCGCGGCCAGCTCGAGATTTACCTTGACATAACCCCCCCTCCCCGCCCCCGGTGGTCTAAGCTAGTTTTAGCATGTCTAAGCTGGTCAGAGCTTGTCTAAGTTGGCCAGAGCTTGTCTAAACTAGTACTACCACCACTACGTAACAGATGTTACGAAACGGTCGGGGAGGAAGAAACGCCAGGTAGAAGAGAAGGCCCCGGCATAGTCCAGATACTACAACCACAGCTTCTACACCGACGGGAAAAAAAAAAGCCTTTTTCTCCCTTGCCAATCCATTCGACAGAATCCGGAATAAAGTCCCGAGCTCGCAGCCAGCTTTTTGCGGACAATTCTCGGCGTCATTATATATGCTATTTGGATGAGCCTGGGAGGTGTGTTCTGGGGAATTGTATTCATCCCCATGTCACCCCCACTTTTTAGGCATGCTCTTTCTTTAGTTGATACTTTTTTCCCACATAGGACCACTTCCATTATTTCAGTCGGATTACGTTTTCGCTTACCCTTGAGTTGTATTGTAATATTAGTTTTAGGAATAGATACTTCAAAGGTATCATAAATTATGTCCATCAGGGAATTAAATTGTACTGGTTGCTTATTCTGTGCATATTGTTATGAATTTTATCTTTCAAAAAAATCGGTTCGCTTAAAAGAACAAAATAACATTTTCTACTCAGTTAGGGTCGAATACATATAGACAACGTATAGAAAACAAACACAAGATGTAAAGTTATATTTAATTTAATGTAATAAAGATATAGAGGGGAAGAAGAAGGAAACGATAAACAAAGAAGAGGAGAAAAGAAAGAAAATATAAAAAAAATTGTTGAAACTTGACTAATGCATGGAATAATAATGCAACACAAAATGTACTTAGAACAAAATGTATTGAAACAAGAAAGTGTACACAATATTTACATATAGTCTTTTGTATATTCCTGGGAAGACCGTTCCTGGAGAATGTGTTGACTTAGTCGCAGTCGGGCAGAGTCTCTGGATTGAATCTCTTGATTCCTCCCACTCTCTTCCCGGTACCAACCATATTTATATGGTCGGTACTCCACTATGCAAATTAGGTGGATCCTACCACAACAAAAATGTCATGAGAGAAATTGTTCAGTGGTTACTTTCTATCGAATCATATTATTGACGATTTCGTTGATAATTATTTCTTTCTTGTTTTCCTTTTATGAATGGTTCGGAGTAGATAGATCTTGTCTTGTCTTGTCTGGGTTGAGACGTTTCCCTTCATATGTAGCAGTATTTTGGTCATTAGTTTATTGGTTTGGTTACCATCCTGAAAACGCTTTGCTTTTATTCACCGAAGATATAGGCTATCCTGTCCCTAGAAATCCTGATTATCCCGGAAGATTTCAACTTTCCATCTCTTGAAGATCGAGAGACAAACTTATGTGAGAGCAAGCCCACGGAGAAAGAAATAAACGTTTTTGCGTCTTCTCGATGCAGCGTCTATGATTCTTCTGACCTGTTAGTGTAGGGACGCGCCCAATCGTTGAACGCTATATATGAAATTAACAATTCAATCGTTAAACCAATTTAAAAGCAGTCAAGGCCGTATTTTTAGAAATAGAAAGAAAGAACGAAAGAAATTAAGGAAAAATTTAATAATTTTAGTATAGGGATTTATATTTAATATTGTTGTGGATTCGGAGATGAATTCGGTCTCCAATGAAGGACAAACGCAATAATTAAATATAAGAAATAAAATGTATTTACACATACAAAGGGTAATACTGTTAGTAAATCCAGGAACGCGGTTAGTAGCAAATACAGATAGATATATATAGTCTCGAAGTAGGACTTCCTTATAGTCTACGTGCTTGTAACTGACTTCTACAAGAGGTTACCTCACTCTATCTCCGTTCGTATATTCTCTCTCTTTTTCCGACTCCCCTCTCACTATCCGACGACTCTCACTGACTGTCTAACTTTGGGTATTTAACGGCAGCAGTCCAGGTACACTGGTCGAGTCTACTTATATGAAAAAGGGGTGGACCCCATAACAAATATCAATAAAGACCTCAATAGATTTATATAATTTTTCCTTCCTGCCAATAAAAGAAGACTTTATTGTCGATCTTAAATGATCTAATAGTTTCAAATTGTAGACTTTTTATTCCCTAGCAATAATTCGTCAAAAATAGATCTAACATTTCTAGCACACATGAGCTCTTCAGTTGACATTTTAGCGGTCACTTTGCATTTGGCATCAATCGATATACGCTTAAAATTTTTTGTAGTGCCGTTTCTTCAGTTTCGAAGCATTTAGCTTTTCTTAATACCGTTTTGAAGGTCTCAACAAACCACTCATCTTGACCATTCAACCCCAGATGATAAATCGGCGTTGACAAATGTTTAACCGCGTAGTTTTTGAAGAAATTTTAAACTCACTTGAAGTAAATTGTCAGGCCCTCCAAACCTTGCAAAAAGTTCGAGTACGTATTTAAACATTATTGCGATCGTAGTTCGTTTGCACTTTAATATCTCGGGTTGTTTCCTGAAACTCTCGATAACAAATAATCTGACCCTTTTAGTGACTCACCAATGTCTACTTGTAGTCTCTCCCACGGTTTATCAGTCCCCGGCCATGTCTGTTAATTTATAAATGGTGACTTCGATGCTGAATTACAAATATTTCTTTTTCTAAATGTTTTTTTTTTTATATCTTTGCTAAACTTTGGCTAATAAATGTCGCTTCTCATCAGGGACTTCATTCTCACTATTCCTGGATGTTCTACGTGGAAATGTTTTAAAATCCTTTATTTAGTGAAAATGGAATTACTACTATTTTCGCGTACTAATGTACTCTATCACAAATAGAAAAATGCCGCATTATTGTTACCAAGTTTAATTTTACTTTTATTCCATTTCGACGGAACGTCATTCATAGTTTGTGAGTAAACGTATCCCTTTTAGAATGAATTTTGATATCATCTATCGTCACCAGTTTAACACCGTATGGAATTAACACACTAATTCCATCTACATTTTACGCGCGCGCGAGTTTTCCTCCCTTCCTTCCACACTCGTGCGTGTGTGCGCGCGGTTTTCACCCCTTCCTCTCTCTTACAGCTAGAAGTAGCAGTAAACGTCCTTTAACTAGTGAGGAAAGTCGCTAGCTATAGCTCCTGCTGATAAAGTCAGCCTAACAGATTTTGAATTTTTTCCCGCGCGTTTCCTGGCGTCTCAAACGAACAGCGTTTGCAAGCCAGTTGCTTCCCGATCTACAACCTAACTAGACGGGCAACTCATTTATTCCGTGCCCTAAACCTATATGCGGGCCGGAATATCTTATTTCAACATGTCGACCTCACATTTTCCCAAGACTTCTTCTCGTCTTGATGCTACCCGCAGGTCAGACCTTCTCCGTTTTCGGCTAGAAAACGTCGAGATACACGACACAGTCGTGGGCAGAATTTCGTATCAACAAGTGACTTATTTTTATCCCTCGTCAGTCAACCATAATACAGACAGGGATATCTTATGACCTCCGTTTTCGGCTAGAAAACGTGGAGACACACGACACAGTCGTGGGCAGAACTTCGTATCAACAAGTGACTTATTTTTATCCCTCGTCAGTCAACCATAATACAGACAGGGATATCTTATTG